GGGGGGAGAGTGCGGCCGCACGGCTCGCCGCCCCGTAAAAGTATTTGGCCCGCGGCGCGCACTCGCTCTGTACTCCATATCGAGCACAGCAGAAACTTTCGCGGCGCACGGAGGCGGCAGCGGCGGCCGCTGCGAGCGAGCGCATTCTCAGACGGACGCCCTCCCCCAATCCATTTGGACGAGCCGCTGCGCTCTCCACCCTCGGCGACCTCGCTCCAACTCCTCCAACTTTTCGATGACTGAGCACGGTGTCCTTACCTTTGTCGTCGATGCTGAAGTAGCCCTGGCCGTCCCCGCCGCGGATCGAGAAGGTGATCCGGGAGTCGTCGCCGGGCGCGTCCGCGTCCGAGGCCTTGACGGAGGTGACGAGCGTACCGACTGTGGCGTTCTCCAGGACGGCCGCCGTCTGCACCAGGTCGTCGAAGAGGGGCGCGTGCGCGTTCTCGTTGACGTCGATGAGGTGCACGGTGAGGGCGGCCTCGCTCCACAGCGCCGGCGTGCCCCGGTCCGTCGCGCGCACTGTCACCACGTGCACCTGGGCAGGCGGGAAATTCAAACATGGCGGTGAGACTAGAAACCCTGGTGAACACTAAGGGAGAGTAAGCGACAAGAGGGTCGTCTTACCTGGCGCTCTTCGTAGTCGAGGTCCTTGAGGGTGCGCACCGTGCCCGTGAGCGCGTCAATGCGGAAGAAGGCGCCCTTCTCAGCGTCCTGGCTGTCGTCGTCGGCCTGGGTCAGGCTGTAGCGCACCTCGCCGCCGAGCCCGAGATCCAGGTCCGAGGCCTGCACCACGGCGATGACGCTGCCGGCGGGTATGTCCTCGAGGACGCGCACCGAAAGGTCCGGGAGCGCGAAGCGCGGCGGGTTGTCGTTGATGTCGTCGACGGTGACGCGGACCTGGGCGGTGGAGCTCTGCGGTGGGTTGCCAAAGTCCCTGGCCACGACGAGCACCTCGTAGACCTCCTGGCGCTCCCTGTCCAGCGGGGCAGTCACCGTCAGCACGCCCGAGACGGCGTCCACAGACAGGTCCTTGGTGTCCGTCTCCATGGAGTACGCTACGCGACCGTTGTCGCCGGCGTCCGGGTCGGTGGCGTTGAGGCGGAAGATGGTGGTGCCGTTGGCGGCGTCCTCGGTGACCCGGAAGCTGGAGAGCGGCTTCTCAAAGCGCGGTGCGTTGTCGTTGACGTCCAGGACGGTGACGGGCAGCACCCGGTGCGTCGACTTGCTCGGCGTGCCCAGGTCCCACGCAGACACGTTCAGCAGGTACTCGGACTCGCGCTCGCGGTCCAGGTAGCCGACGAGCCGCAGCTCGCCGGACTCGAGGTCGATCTTGAAGAGCGAGTCCGAGTCGCCGGACGCGATGCCGTACACGATCTTGCCGTTGTAGCCCAGGTCGCGGTCGCGGGCGCGCACGCGCACCAGGATGGCACCGAGCGCGAGCGACTCGTTGACGCGCACCTCGAGCGGGAAGTCAACGAACTCGGGGGCGTGCACGTTGGAGCCGTAGCGCGGCGGCACCAGGGGGAAGTCCTCCTCGTCGGCGACGTGCGGCGCGTTGTTCCTCTCGGCCGCCGCCAGCACCTCCGTCAGCCGGCGAGCCACGCCCGTCTCCCTGCAGTCGAAGTAGCCCTTGTGGAAGCCCGTGGAGGGCGCCGCCGTCACCGGGTCCCGCTTGGCGTTCACCAGGTTCACCTGCAGCCGCAGCACGTCCGAGAAGTGCGTGCCGTCCGAGGCCGTGACGTTGAGCTCGCGGCGCGCGGCGCGCACGTCGGCCAGGTCGCACGTCACCTGCAGCATGCCCGAGCTCGAGTCGAGCGCAAAGCAGCCGTCCTCGGAGCCGCCCTCGAGGCGGTACGTGATGACGCTGCCGTCATCGAAGTCGATGGCGGACAGGGTGAGGATGTCGGTGCCGATGGCGAGGTGGCGGGGCACGTGGCCGACGCAGTCGACGCGCTCGAACTGCGGCCGGTTGTCGTTGACGTCGCGGACGTGCACGCGCAGCGTGGTCTCCGTCTGCCGGCGGTAGGGCAGGCCCCAGTCCGAGGCGCGGATCCGCAACACGTACTCGCGCTTCATCACCTCGTAGTTGAGCACCTGCGTGGTGCGCACCCAGCCCGTAAAGTGGTCCACCTCGAAGGGCACGGGGCCGAGGTTGGCGATCAGGTACGAGATGTAGGCGTTCTCCCCAGAGTCCCGGTCGCGCGCCACGACGCGCGCCACCTGCTGGCCGGGCGGCTCGTTCTCGTTCACCCACACTGTCTGCTCGGGCGTCTCGAACACGGGGTCGTTGTCGTTGGCGTCCAGCACCGTCACCTGGACGCGCGCCGAGCTCTGCTTGCGGGCCCCGGCGTTCCCTTGGTCCAGCGCCGACACCGTCAGCGCGTACGACGTCTTGAGCTCCGCGTCCAGCAGCTTGGCCGTGTACAGCATCCCCGTGTCCGGGTGCAGCCAGAAGACGCCGTCCTGGTTGCCGCCCACGATCTCCATGTACACCTGCGGGACACGCAAGAATAAAGGGAAAACGTCAGAGGGACAGCAAGCAAGCAGCGCGGGGATCACCAGCAACGGGGACAAAATACAAAAAAAAAAACAAAAAACGATGATCTATTTAAAAAAAAAAATCAGAACAAATCAGAAAAAAGGGAGAAATAAGGGAAATCGATTTAAAAACCATGGGAGAAAACACAGATAAAATCAGAAAATATCGAGAAGACTCAAGAAAAATTCGACTACACCTCACATCCAATGGTCTGCCTTGGGCCCTTCAATAGTCGCCAAACACGACAGTAGTACAAGAAAGTTGGCAGACCCATTTTATTTATATCTAGTAATTTAGTTTCAGTATAAGCCATTTTTAATGTATCGTCTGCTATAAAAAGCAGGAAAAACTCGGTGTACGCTTGAATTTTTTTTAGTGTGAGGAACCCTTCTTCGGTCGGCTCCGCCGCGCGGCGGTGGCGGGCGCCTGTGATGCGCGGGATAGGCACGCCGCTCGGCCGGGCGGCGGGCGGGCTGCCTGCTGCCGCGGCGGCGTGAGGGCAGCGCGTCGTGGCACCACAGCCATTAGGGGAGGGGTGACAGCTGCACCACGGCGACGGCGACAAGTGCGCGCTCATGGAGAGCGACACGCGTTGGATGGGAACTAGTTGTGAGGAAACGTGTCAACGAAAGAAAAGAAAGCTCTTTCTTAAATACGTGAGCTGAGCAGTGAGATAGCTCTCACAAAAAAGAAGAAAAGTTTTGCGTTACATGTCGCATTTTCCTGAGAATTTCAATCTTTTCACATCGCAGTCATGGGGGCCCGCGCATCACTCGCGCGAGGATCACCG